TGCGAGAACCAGAAATTTTTATACCTTCATCCAGCATTCTCACCCTACTTATACGGACACACTAGACCCCGCTCCTTATCACGACCACATTCCGGGGCATTCTGTGCTGACATTTTTCAACTTTTGCACAATTCAAGCTGCAAGAAGGTCGGCCAACTATGGAAAGCTGCGCCAAAAAAATGGCCCCCATTTCCATGAGATGTCCCAGGTTAGCAAGCTAGAATCTCCTGGCACATGAAGTGAACAGACAAGTTCTAAGGATTAGCCATAATTGGTACGCGCACCTAATTAAGAGATGTCTGGCAACTGGCAGCTGGACAGCTTTAATGAGGTGCGAAAACTTGGTGTCTATCTGCGAGATGACCTCATTAACGAGGAGAGGGCTCAGAGGTCATCCTGTCATCCACATATCTTCGCAACGAAAGCAGAAAGATCAATAATACGAGAAACAATGTTAATGAATATTTATTGAAATACCCTTTCATAGAAAAAATATACATTGTTATAGAGGCTAAAACAAAAACTCAAGTGCTGTTAATTAGGTTTGTCAGTCACATAATGTGACATTCTCCTGCAGTACAATTCTATTTCGTCTTGAGAAGGTCCTCGTTGGTATATGATATTGAATCTGGAAAATTGAAACCATAGCCATGTAAACAGAACTGCATTCAAAAATTCCATACTCTGCCATTTCCTCGGAAATCTTTGCCTTCCTCTCCATGTGCTTCCTTCGTGACGCTCTAGCGTCGTCAGGATTCTGCAACAGATTCACAGGAAACTAACGATAAAAATTTGCTTTACGCTCCCGGGATGCTTACCTCTTTGAGGCGCGTGAGAGCAGCTTTAGCCTCATAATTGAGCTTCTTCAAAATATCGATCAAGATGCTCAATGGTGGGTGGTCGACCGATGCAATCACCTGAATCCGCCTGAAAAATTTTTGTTCACTCGGATACCTATGGAAGGCCTCAGCCAAGTTGGTTGTTCTCAACTCCTCAAGACCCCATTTGCACCACAGTCCTTTGAATGGTCCGTCAATCCAGATAGTCCTCAAATAATCTAGGAACTCCTGGCAGTCTGCATAGGCACTGTGGTCGCTGGGTACTGGAGGATTGTGCAGGGCTCGTACATCCCGCAGTAGCCCTTGTGGGAGAAAAACGATTCCTGTAATACTAAGAATATCTGTACTCATAATCGTAGCAACTACAGAAAAATAATTTAGCAACCTTTCATCGTTTACGAAGCGGACATCTCTTTCGGGGCCTTGGATGTACTTCTTGAGTGTTAGTGCGTTCCTTTTTCGGCTCCAGGCCTGGGCCAAATGAAATGCACAGCATTCCACAGACGCGGTAGGGAAGACCATTTTGGCAGCATGAATAGCTGCCTTTTCGAAGTCGAGCACTATGCGTCGAGGGGTTTCCCCTCGCAGATTCGCTTTCAAGTGCTCAAAAATCTTCTTATAAACCCGACGCGTCTTCTTTTCCGTGATGCAGAACATCAGCGGCAAGTCCACTTCTCGGCTACAAACTCCATGCACACAATACAGTTGTGCATGGTATCCCAGGCTCTTCGGGTGCAGTGAGTGCACACCATCCGCGACGATTGCATAGAGCCCATTTTCAAGAGCCATCTGAAACTATCTTATCAGAATAGGTGGACTGCTATAAATGTGAACGATACCTCGATGGTTCTCACAGAATAATATATATGGAATCTCGGTTCGTGAAACTTGGAGGAAACTGAGACCCATCTTGAAGAGTCCGAAAATCTGCGGGACATTTTCCATTGCCACCAGCCGGTGCACCCCTGGTGCTTGTTCAAATTGTGTGATATTTGTCCGTCTCCGCGCCTGATAGCCAGATTTCCTGATGGCTGCCCTGATAGCGTCCTCCATATCTTCTGCAACACGAACATTTAGCTTAGGGAGAAAACCGTAACATAATGACTCAAGTACCATCACCTGTATCTCGAGATTGCTTAGTAGATCGAAATAAACCTGGAAAGGCTTCTTTGGAGCATATGCGGTATCTTGCCCAACGCTTTGAAAATCCTGGAAAGACATAGGCATTATTTTCAGCCAAGCTAGTACCTCAGGACTGAAGGAAGGCTAACCTCGAAAAACGCTCTAGTCCCTCTCTCTGTCGAGTACCTCTCGGGGAGACAGTCATGGAAGAGACCACATGGATCTGTCAGGAATTCATCACCGACCACCTGAACGAGGGATGCTTAAAGTTTGCTGGAAGTAAGATAGAAATCTTTTTTTCCAAACTCCACCTTGATAGCGTCTCCCAAAAACCACGACTTCTGCTCTCCTTTCTACATTGTACCATTATTTGTACGATGCTTCGCGAACGTGTAGGCATACTGCGTTCCTGGAATCCTGTATATAAGAACACAATGTCTTCCGTATTTGCTTACCTGTCGTTCTCCTTTAAACTGCCGCGGTTGCGACGTCTGATGATTGACACCTGGCGAAAGGGGAGTTGAAGGAGGGAGGGGGTATTATTGATGTAATACGGTGGTGCTGGGGCAAAGGGGAGAACGTGAGGCAGAGTCTGACTCTGTGAAGGTGTTGGTGCAAGGGGAGATCAAAGGATGAAAACTGGTCAGTGTAGTGCGAAGATGTGAGGGGTGCAGAGGGGTGCACGTGAGGTGGGGATACATACAAAGGTGAAGGGGCGAACATTCCAGTCGAAGATGAAGGGGGTGTAGTGATGTCCAGGTAGGTGTAGAACCCAGGAGAAGACATATTACGTTGAACAGAGGGCTGAAGATGCGATAAATACAACGCCGAATACAACTTTATTAGTTGCGTGAGAACACATATCATGTTAGCTTTATATACCAGTAAATGACCTCTCACTGAGGTGTTATTTTTCATTAGAGGTGTATTAAGTCCGTAGAGGTAATAAGTCGGTGATCTTCAAAGAGGTGTGAGAAGGTCAGCTCTCAACGAGTTTGCCAGAAAGAGGCAGCAACATATTAGCAATATGCAGAAGTGAAGAGTTTGTTGAAAACAAATAAGTGTATCTTGTTTCGGTGGGCTGAACCCTTTTAGTGTAATGTTCATTTTCCGACTTTCAGACGCTATTTAGTGGCATATTGGAAACGAAAATCTCTGAATATTAAGGGTCCCATACATTTCCTTGTCACTAATTGTAACTAGTGCATCTTGAGCTACAATACCAATATTTTCTTCAAAAATAATTTTTTGAGAATTTGCATTTTGCTTGTAGCTTTCTTGTGCAATGATCTTTCTGCTTTCGTTGCGAAGATATGTGAATAATAGGATGACCCCTGAGGGTTTGTGGTGTTCTTAAAAGATCTCACTTCACACCTATCATGCCTCTTGGGGAGACTCGCCTGCGGTGTTGCCTGACTTAATTGCTCTCTCACTAACTCCTGACCTCTCGTCTACAGACACGACTGAGCCAAACTGAACATGGAAAGTAGAAGGAAAAAAAAAGTAAACGTAGGAAATGTCAGAAAAAATGTTTTCATAAATTTAAAATGTCAAGAACACATTTAACCACTTAGAGCAACTGAAATGCAGACGTACACAACATGAAATTACCGCAATTTAAATGGGAAAAAGGGCACGTATTGAAAAATTCTATTGTTTTCATCATGGAAGGTATCCCAAAAGATTTGAACTTCTAGGCTCTGTAATTACTTGAAGGTTGAATGTGTTCTGCGCCAAGAACTCGCTGTAATTGGACTCTATTGATGCCCATCTATAGGGAGGTTAATTCGTTGACCGTCAGTACTTTAACTGTTAGGCACTCTTTTACCAACCTCACACCTGATATAAAGGTTGTCGCTAATCAGTAATTAAGCGAGCTGATTAGCGGAAATCTTTAGCACTGTTGTTTGTGTAACGCACAGTAGAGCATGAACGATAACATTCACTCCCTTTCCTCCGTTCCCACCAATTCTCTGATTTTCCGTGATGTCTCCGGCAGTACATCACTCCCTTTCCCTTTGTACACATTTTCTTTTTCATTTGATGTCGCACAAAGCACTACTAACTCAACATATGATTCTTGGTTGTACACAACCTCATCGGTTCTTCGGGAGCAGTATACTACTATGCATGTGCCGTTTCCCTCGTTTTATGTTTTAACTGGAAGCACACACCTCGACGCCACACATTTCGATGGGATGAACTTCGGCTCAACTCCGCTTCCTGCTCTTAACGCGCCGGCTTCATTGTCATATCCACCATCAGCACACAACTCGCTCATTTCACTTGCACATACCTCCATTCCAGGTTCTCAGCAATCTTCAGATTCCCTTTTAGCACCAGCAGAAACACAACCACGGGAATACATGGGCGAACGACAGGTAAGCAAATATGGAAAACGAGATGTAATAATTTACAGGATTGTAGGCACCAGTCATTCGTTCACTTTTTATTGCATGTATGGGACCAAACACTACGAGGTTTACGAAGCGGAAGAATATTGTAGAAAAATGTCTAGATTTGTTACTAACACTACCATCTAAGCCCAATTTAATTTAAATTTAATTTAATTTTTAATTTTTTTGTTTCACTTCAATTCATTTCAGCATGCTTTTCATCTTTGACTGTTTCATGTGATTCAAATTTTTCAATTGTAGTCCTA